GACCACCCGACGAAAATGACTCCATTTACTTTACCAGTTACTATCCAGTTTACCTAGGAATAACCTGTTTCGTATTGTTATAATTACACTTTAATCATGCCCTGCTGATTATTTCCATCTCAATTTCTCAAACTTGTCATCTTCGTGACCTAATTGTTGTTCACCGAACCCCCACTACCATTTGATTTGTATTTTGATTGAACTGTAAGCCCCATTATTAGTGTAGAGCCTAGGATGAAGACCTGAGTAAAAAGGAGTATATTTCTCTGTCCAACCAGCCCTTTCACAGAAATTAATTACCTTAAGTAAGGACAACTAGCGATGTCAGTAAAGGAATAACCGCCATCACCATTTCCACTTAACCTCGTTATAGATGTACTAATGGACATAACCTTAAGTTGGTCTGATTTCACACGGACTGATCTATTCCCCTGAGGTTATCTGGTTGACTTGTAGTTTGTAGATGACATTGTGCTGCTACGTGAAGACGATTATGCAATGTAGGGTCTTGGGGGAATGCTGAGCAGGAATCCCAGCGTGTTTGGCACGCTGCTTGCACCTGTCGGTTGTAAGCTGATGCTTCTGACTGGCCTACAACTACTCATAGTTAAATGGTAAGGAGTTGAGTAGTGGAATGTGTCGACAATTTCAGTTACTTTGGGAATCGCATCAGCTCAAACAAGATGGTTGCTTGATAGATACATAAGGCCCGACTAGCAACTGCCATGATCTGTAGCACCACCAAGATGTCCACCACCTATCAAGGGATGAGTATACTACGTTACAGTTCGTTCTGTCCTGTTGAAAGAGTGACACATCGCCGTTGAGAGTAGAAGACGTGTAATGATTACTCGGTTTTAGTCACAGAAGACTTCAGGTGTTTGACCACCGTTGCATTCGTAGTATAAACCGTATTCCGTGGTGTCACCATGTGAGTAATGCAGAAGTCAGTAGAGTTTTAGGGAGAAGAGGTAAGTCGGTTGACGAGGTTATGAACATTCATCGACTGAGATGGTTGGGACACGTACTACGTATGCCTAGTCACCGATTGCCTTGTCACACAATGTTGGCTGAGGTGGGTCCAGGCTGGAAAGAGGCCCGAGGTGGCCAGACTAAAAAATGGCATCAACGCATGAAGTCTTCGACTGTCGGTTTTGAGCCATGTGGAACGATGCAGACTAGGTGGTTGGGGTCCACGGGACAAGAGGAACCAGTGGTTGGAGACTCTAGATATGGCTGAGAACCAATGTCAGTGGCGCAGGTGTACGCACACATATATTATCATCTTAACGACACTATACCGAATCTCACCATTTTCTCACTCTCCGTTTCTCTCTTTTTGTACTTTATATTTTTTTTGACTGCACTCTCTTATCTTCATCCTTCACCTCACTACCTTTCTACTTGATATACTGATATGAGGTGTGGCAAGTTGGACCGTTACACAGTAATGCCTGGTCCTAGGTTGACCTGGATGGATCGTAGCATCACACGCGTTTGGTGAAATCACCATGTGACCAACGTTGAGGCCAGACGAGGATTTTCAGGCGTCGATTGATGAGGTTGTGAACCCTAATCTACTGAGATGGCTTGGATGAAGAATGCACAAACTGAGCCGCCTCCCACCTCGATGTCCCATGCCGAGGGAAGCTGAACTAGGTAGCAAGACGGTTCAGGGTAGCCAGAGCAAGACTCTACACAGTCGACGCTTTTTGCCGTTGGCACGAGTCACATACGAACATGTATACTGCCTGGTTGGAGTCCTCGAGACAAAAGAAATCAGTGGTCGAGCACTGTTGGTGACATGGCTGAAAGTAATGTCTCTGTAAAATTGACATATTCACTCATCTAAGGTCTAGAGCTTGGACATTTGCATTAACCTTCATCTTTTCTCACACAACGCTTTCTACTTCGATTCCACTCTTTTCCTATCCACCTGTTTTTTGTGTACTACGGTGAAGTGTGGCAACTTGAGCCGACGCACCTGAGTGTGATGTTCTACGTCAGTCAGTCATCGTAGTCATAGCTAACTGGAATGAGTCTTTGAGCATCAATCACTATGAATGAAGTTATGGAAATTCACTCATTTTTTTAAACCAACTGTCTTTACTGTCATATCTACGGCAGATAGATTGTCACGCAAGGCTTTAGAAGGATGAGTACTGATATCAGATCTAAACTACAATGGTCCAGAGGATATAAAGCCAAATAAGTTGGATTAATGTTGGCAGTACATATCTCTGCGGAAATCCAGTTTCTTTTTGAAAGCGTTCACCGGAAGGCATTACCACAACCTCTAGTCGATAATCGCCCTTTGAGAATCTGCGTTCCACTCTTAGTTTATTCAACTGTGGTTTTTGTGATGCACTCCTAGATAATCAGTTCTAGAATGTGAAACGATTACAGACATGAACACCAAGATATGACACAGTGTAAGACAACCCCCCTTTCCTGACGTGATAACGGGAGATTGGTTTTTTTAACAGCTCATTCTAAAGGAGGTGCGGAAGGCGTCATCAACTTAGTACGCGTTCCATAGTGCCTGCTTCTTGAAGCATGATCTAACTACCTATGTGCAATATTCGAGGTAACGACTTGCCCAAGTAGGATACAGCATCCCAAATATTTTCACATGGAAGCGCTCCAAGGACCTACTACATAGTCATAATGTGTGGAATGCATTAGCCGAGACCGTGTCCCGTGATTACCGCTGTTGATAACCTCTACATCGTTTTGTTCGTCAACACAGCAGCATATACCCACCAGCTTAGTAGGGTTGGCAAAACATACGAGCAGTGTGTATCGCTTCACCCTTGCTAGAGTCGAAATCCAGATGCTAGCCCTTAAACCATCCAGTCAATTCAGTCTTGAGCGTTAATGGGCCTTCATTATTACGAACCCTAAACACCACTTGCGAGATGGTAGGTCAACACAAATATATCTCCACAGAACGCCTGTAATTTTCCATTCGAATAACACTTCACTTACTTCGATCCTTCGCCACCATATACGTAATCCCTGAACCACTCTAGAATGTTGACGTTCATATCAAACCCTGAAGGCTTCCTCAGTAAAATTGAGCGAGAACCTTTGTGAAAAGCTCTACTGGAAAATAAATCAACACACCACAGGGGAATTTATTACCTCCTACTCAACCTTCCTTGATAAAAGTGAGTCCGCTAGGTAGATGCAACTGATTTGTCCGTACCTTTTTTAAACTTTTATGATTAACAAGTCAAGCTGACGAGGCTGGGACGGAGGATAGTTAGTTGACAACTGTCATCCTTGAAAATGAGGCAAACCAGTCTTTCCGTTCAACAGATAACCGAGCCTAGTGTAAATAGCCTCGCCAACAGTTCGTGGACAACGTCAAAGTCAGTAACAACCTAGCGTGGAACCTTCGGATGCAGGAACTTAATTCACTACCTACCGTCATGAGCCATTTGGAAGACTTCAGACGGTCATACTTGTTACTGCTGACCGAAGAGACTTAACTGAAATATTTCAATAAGTCTACAACCTGTCCCATGTCTAATTCCGCCGGGATGTCAAGGATCCCACTTAGAAGTAAGGCGGGTACTATACCATAGTTCCCGGTCGACTCCGATGTATCAGTAGTCTTCTGGTATATTCAATACACCAACCGCTTTTCATACTAGATGCGACGATCTCCGAACTTATGCGAAGTAAGACTCTGTAAAAAGATCTCGACATTGATCTCTTTTTTCTAGCTTTTGGATCTGACCGTCTACCTACAGAGCTCTGTGAGAAAGCACCTATAATGTCGGCCAGGGAGAAAAAGGGGAACTGGTACTTTTTGATGCCGTCTTAAATTCTTTTCCAGCTATTCCTACAGTTGAGTCTGTATCTACAGACCTGTCCACTGCCACCGTGACATTTCGAATCACCATCAAGCCTGCTTGCCAAATATTTGGCCTGCAGTGAATAAACTTACGAGTTGAGTTTTGGATTTATAAGCCGTAACTACCCGTTCACCACACGCCAACAAGGTTAATCATCTTGCCCGGTGAGTGAAGACTAGATAAACCAATAAAGCCCAATGCTCTTAGTTAGAGCGCGTAAGTACCAAAACGCTACGTCACAGCACACTCGACGACCACTAGAAGCGGATCGATTCCCAAACAACATGCGCCTGCACCTGTGAGCTCTCTCCAACCAGCATGAGAAGCACTGGTGTATCCAGCCAGAGCACTTACTGCTTCTACCCTTCCCAGTCACGTAGCTTAAAATGAATCCATAAGTCCGGTAATTAGAACTATGTGTATATTATATTACCAGTGCTGCCGCGATTCAACATTCTTTTGTATACGTCGCTGGTAGATATTTCAGATACCGAAAACACTCTTACAAATACCGAATACAGTGCTATGCCAATAATTTTAAAACTTATGAATTCCCGTTCACATTCATGCAAACGACGATGAGTGGTTCAAGTTTCAGACCCACTGGGCGAATTTTCCTTCAACGCAAGGTTATTCTGTCTTTTAAAATAAATATTATGAACATGTTAGAAACCAAAAAATAGAGAATTATGAAACATTGATAGACTCACTAGAGTATAATAGAACTACGAGGAATTCAGCCGCTTACTGCTAATATCGAAATGGTCAACTTACTGGTTCACTTAAATTTGTGCTTATGCACAGAAACTGAGAAACCTTGCTTCTCTGAACACCAAATCATGTTTGACATGATCGTCCTGTCGACTCATTACATCAACCGTAGCCTATGCAGACTGCGGAAATATCAAACTTAGATGACGAATCTAAGGTACTAATCTAACCATCGCTTAAGTCTTGCGAATGAAATCAGATGATAAGGTATAATCGGTTTGCAAACAGGTTTATTTCGAACACACGGTTCGTTGACTGCAAAGTAAGTTGGTATAGTTTGAAGTAGATGAGTGCTCTAGACCCAGAATACGTCATTCCGAGTATGCATCTAAAAGACGTACGATGAGTGCAAACGTTGAAACCTACTCAGGCCGATGCACATTGTACGCGTGGATTGCCACTCTCAGCTGCATCATCATCTTCATAAACCTCTTGTCGGCGATCATGCTGCTGGTCGTGTTCAGGATCGAAGGGTTGCAGCGCAACGGTTTCAGCATCCTCAGGTATATCTTCGATGCACGCAGGCGGAGGGAGCAACTTTCGCAACGATTCCAACTGCGCCATTGGGAGGAAATCCTTTTTCGGGAATGCAATATCGAATTTCACGATGAGTCGACCTTTTTCAAATGGGTTTTTGTAGCGTGGCATTCCTTCTGCATCAATGGCGCGGTAATCTTTATTCGTAAACACTTCGCCTATTGAATTAGTTGTTAGACAGTGAAAACACATTTACCTGGTCTGGAATTTATGACAAGTGCCCGGTCGTCTAATGTACGTATCACCCGCTGAAAGCCACATAAGGCTTCTGAAAGAGACAAGACCAGTGTATATATGAGATCTGTTCGGCGTCTAATGAATCGGTCGTGTTGCTGTTCATCAAGAGATACTATCAAATCTCCAGGTTCTAGTCCTGGTTCACGATCTCCTTCACCACTAAACCTGATGGTTTGACCGTCTGACATTCCTTTGTCGATTGGCACTTCAATGACCTTGGTCTCGCGAACAACCTTTTTACCCTCACACTTCTTACAACAGTCTTTGGGGTCAATTATTTCTCTTTCCCCTCTGCATGTACTACATGTGCTCTGTATTTGCTGGACGAATCCAACATCCAACTGACGAATATGAGTTTGTATGCCTGTTCCCCGACAAGTACGACAAGGCATCACTGCACCTGCTTTACCACCACGACCTGCATGCAATTGGATTACTATAATCAACATTTACCTTGGCACTTATCACATATAACTTTCCTTGTTACTCCAAGCTTTCTGGTGCTGCCATTGTACAATTCTTCCAACGTCACAGAAAGTTGATGTACGCAATCTTTGCCTCTACGCGGGCCACGAGAACGACCACCACCGAAAAACATCTGGAATATGTCCATGGGGTCAGCCATCCCACCGGATTCACCACCACCCTCCTTCAACGCCTGTTCACCCCCTCTGTCGTATATCTTCCTCTTTGCTGGATCACTGAGAACCATGAAAGCCTGAGAAATTTCTTTGAACTATGTCAGTTACAGTGGTACTGTTTACTATACCTTTTCAGGGTTATCTGGACACTTGTCCGGATGAAACTGAAGAGCCAATTTGCGATAAGCCTTTTTGATCTCTGCCTCAGTTGCAGTTGGTGATACACCGAGAAGCTCATAGTACTTAGTTTCGCAAACCATTGCCTCTGATTAACGCCTCGAACCGGGTTACTGAGGGCGGAACTTTCGAGACTGAAGTGATGCAGTCAAACAACTGAAGCAGTATACATTGCAAAAAAGAAACTCCATAGAGTACAAATATTTCGTGACTCATCATTTTTTTAATGGCTGACTAGCAGGTTATGAAGTTCATACATGCTTTCAGTAGTAAATAAATCTACCTCGAATTTTGTGTTTTAAGAATGGTGGATGGTGGTTCATATGGTCTCATGTTTGTGCTACTAGTAAACGTTCTTTGTATGAAGTGACCATAGCTCTTTTCTCACTTCCTTAAAGCCTGAGTGAACTGAGACAATTCATCCCAACAAATCAGCTCCCTTATTTGTGTATTCACGTTCAGTGTCTGAAAATGTGGGAAGCCTCTATGGTGCAATTCATCTATATCACGAAACCGTGGATGAACGTCTAAAATTCCCTTTGAATAATAAATTTAACAGACGATAGTTTCAAAGAAGTTAATACAGATATTCGCCCAAACCCTCTCATGTCCTACCTTTTAAAGTAGGTCTCTGACGTGTGGTTTCTTAGCGAAGCTAAGGGTTAATATTTCTCCCTTGGTTGAAACTCACCATGAAGTATCTGTTTTACAATACTGTATTACCAGTAATTTTTTGCCACTGGCCTCCAATATTTGGTGAACGACTGCAAGCCTTCGGGGATCCTGCGGTTAACCTGTCGGGTGGTTGGTTGTTGGATATAAACAGGTGAAAAAGGTGAATAAAAAAGGAAATACAAAGGAAAGTCTTGGTAGATTCCAGAAGTGAAAGGGACCCAGTGACATGGAGGTATACCCATGGACTATTCGAACATTGTGGATAGAGTCAATTTATTATCAATATATTTGTTATGAATGTGTTACAAACAACAATGTTATTTAATTTTGGTATTATTCCAAGCAAAATTGCTAAAGATGTAGGGGAAAACCTTTGGCATTGTGTTGGAATATAACTCTATATTTGACTTCACCTGGAATGCTACACTGGCACGACACATCTCATTGGATGCCAACTCCGAAAATAATTCATTGCTCACATCCGCATAAATGTGATCATACGAAGGTAGTATCCATCAGAACATTCCGTCAGGAAAGCTATTTTGAGCAGACCCTAGGAATCGCTTACTTTGGGGTCAAATATATGCGGTATTATGGGTTTGTCTCATTCCCATGGTAATGATCGTATGACACAAAGAAACTGAGAATGAGGACCTGTGTCATTCTGTTCTCGGAAATCATATTTGGTATGCAGAAACACGGTTCCTGTATACAAAGAAATATACCGTAGAGCTATTTCGCGTTTCTCTCCCTTGGCTGAAGCAGGAGAATGAGAAGCGCAACATGCTAGGGCAAAACTAAATCCCACAGTCAACTGCACCCCCCCCCTTCATCAGGAAGCCACTTTTGTACGGCAGGTTTACTATTCTTGACCAGTGAACAACAGTTACGTAGAGTCCACTGGCGTGTGTGGAAAATTCTAAGTGATAGACTTCGGTCCCAAATACCCAATAGTAGACATTTTGTTAGATAGCTCTTCTTAGGGCCGCCACATATGTGATTTGAGTAACTTCTTCCGTCCTTTCTAGTGGAAGTATTTCCTTTTCGCAAAAGTTTCTGGGTACGGCTATCTCTCAGAACATGTAGCGGTGTCGCAGTAACTGCCAGGCAGCTTGAGAGTCGAAAACGAAGGGTATAAAAATTTGTCACTTATCAACAATTATTAATTAGAATATCTGCAATTTCATCTCGACTATTTCGCATTCATTGACGGGCCGATAGTTCTTGAAGTAATGTAAGCAAGCGTTTCGAGTACGCGGATTTCCTTGGCAGTACATTAGAAATCACGATTGCCTACTAGACACGTGATATCAGTGAAACGACGACCAGTGCAACAGTTCTATGACTGCTCAAACGTGTCTCGCTTACGTAGGTGTCTTGCCGGATGTCGTTAATGCCGTGTATAGGAAGACGTGTTCACCAATAAGTAAGAATCAATTGCCTTGAGAGTTGCGATGATTACTAGCTGCTCGTGAACAAGCACATATTTCCGCCTACTGATGGCATGCTGACGGGAGACTGCCACCCGTAGTGGTGAACTGTTCATTCAACTCGAAGCGTGCAGTTATCAGGACTTCCAACTACTCAGACAATTTTAGGAATCGTTCTAGCGTGAAGTTCAGAGACTCAGAGGCCAATCACTAATCATTCGAACTTGACATATACCCACCAACACGAGACTAAGAAAGAACACAATAGCGTGGTCCGATGGAAGGATATATTTGCGGGGACAGGCCAAGATACCGACGTGTTCCAACTGACTGGCTAGAGGGTCAATTACAAGCAGTGCAACGTGACACGACAGCGTGCCAGATGGTGAGGGTGTCTGACCGTGCACCTTCAGCCTAGTGAATCCAGTTAAACCATGAAGGTCAGCATCAGTGTTGAATCCCGCTGAACCCCAGGCCATTGGTTCTGGAGAAGTATGCGCGCTACATTATATTTAGAACACGTGTGCCACAACAACTTGGGTACCGAGTAGCTTCTAATTACTATTGAAGTGTACTACAATTCAATCCAACCCATCGCGAATAATTTCTTGATTAGGCTCTAGCTTACTGGAACAATTTACTCAGTAGCCTGTTGAATGATTACAGCGAACTGGGATTATTTTTGAACTGAAATTCAAAAACTCGATTTCAATGCCCAATTTCGAATCATCTTGCAAGTGGCACACCCTGATTGAGTGCGGTACAAACAAAACAGCATATACATAGCATGTATGTAGACGATAAAAGGGGGACAGGGAAATTTTGGCTCTATGTGTACGTTAGTTACGTTAATTTTAGCATACCACGCACCCACAATGTTATCCATCATCCACTTATCCGTGAACAGACTGCTCTGCCCACGAAGTTATTGAAGCAGTTAGTTCACCCTTGAAACTAATGAGGAGTTCTGAAATGACTAAATAATATTTACCACCGTTTCATCTACTCTAAGCAACTACTCTACATATATTGCCCGCCACCATTTGAAGGAGAAGGAGAATAATTATGGTGTACGCGATTAAATGAATGGCTGCAGAAAAAGCGTCTGCTGAAAACGCTGACGAGCAAAGAATTTCGACGGGTTATAAATAAATAAATATTTTATTCTCACACCAAGAAATTAACATGAGAGAAGCCAGTTTATAGGCACCATCATATATATATATACATGTTGAAAAATCCAAGAGATTTCACGTGTCCTGGACGGTACGGAAGGGAGGTCATTAAACACTGTTGAAAACGTCGGAAGATTCTGAAATACAGGGCTGCACATCTAAAACACGACGCCTTTCTTGTGCGTTGTCTTGATGGCCAGAAGCAAGTGGAGAAGAATTGAGGGGCTTTAGTCTTTCAAGACCTAAAATCTCATGGCAGCGGTGACAAGAAAGTTGGCACTAGTGCCTCTTAGACGAAGTTTTGAACAATTCAATAGTAGATGTCTTCTCCGGTTTTTCAGCAGCTTCATAGGGCCACTCTGGAGTATGAAAAACCGTTCCTCTCTCCTCATTGTAGGAGGACAAATTATGTGCATAAAACATCTAGAGGCAGTCGATCTATTCTGTCCGACGACTTAGGTTTAGAGCGTGTGAGTAGCGGCTGGTAGCGCTTGTTGTGCTTCATTGGAAACATAAAAGAATGAGGCAGAATCCGCTGTTGGGTTACGATGTGCTGAACACGCCTGGATACCCAACTAGTTACTTATTTAAGCTCAGTAGTAACACCAACCCCAGAGGATGCACACATGCTGGTTCAGAAAGCCGCGGCTCAGATATCGGGCGCAACTCCCACTCTTCAAGGGTTTCTGAATCCTGGAACTCTGTTCCTGTAAAAGTGGCTTAGACTACTTCGTGTGGACCCTTCAAAGGCTGAGTTGACGCCCACTTAGAATGTGGATGGAAGCTGTACGATGACTAAATGGTTCTTCCTTTTTCGACCCCCACCCTTTTCCCTCTCTTCATTTGTACGCAGTCCAGCAACCGAAGGAATTTTCGGCTCACTGCTTTTAGACGCGGGAGGCTGTTAGGCGGAAACTCCTACTATTCTGCTGACAGCCACTCGAAACCATTTGAATCCACACCTTGAGGATGCAGTGCGGTGCACCTTAAATAGTGATCAACTATATGGGTAGTAAGGAAGTTTTCCTTTATAAACCTTTGCAGAAGACATCTGTGTGAACATAAAATTTTCCACTAAGTGCGTTCGCCAAAGGAGGTGACATCACTTGCTGAGGAACGGTTTTCCAGCCGTTGGCTGCTCCGTGGCAGAACCGCAGAGTGATGCCAAGATGATTTAATCCAAAGATCTGTCACAAGCCTGGTACCAGCCCTTCGGACACGTCCAGGTATGAAGGCGTAGAATGGCTGCGTGAATGAAGTATCCCAAATCAGGCCTAGCCTACGTAGGATAGGGAGTCTTAAACACATCCTGATCACATCTGGGAGTTGTCCCTTTGTGTAATAACTTGCGGTAGTCTTTCATCGCAGCTGCACTGTAGTAGGAAGAATTTTTCGAATCATGACTGGCTATATGATTTAAGTCTTTTTGTTATGAAGCCAGAAGTAGTGGTGCACCACAACGAAATACCAGGAACAATAATTGTGACCGATGAGTTTTATCACGCTTATGTTACAGATTTCCAGGCACTGATGTTTAGATGGACCCATCAGTTCATCCGAATCCACAAGAAGCCCATACCTGTCAGCGTCATCAATTGTGACTGCTAACTTCTACGTCATTGGTGGATAGCGGCACCAAAGAGTTGAGCATCTGAGGAAGTTCAGTGACATGTGTAATGAAAAGAAGGGGACCTGGGACTGGTCCCTGAGGAATTTCACTCATTACAAGTTTCCACCCGGATATCGTCTCCTTATTCCTCACCGTCTGCATTCTGCCACTAACCCAGGCATTTTGCGTGGCAC